GGCTCGGCGGCGGTGGCGGCGGGCGCGCCTGCTCAGTGCAGCTGTGCGGGGGCGCCTGGCCGGAGCCTCCCGACTCTCCATCCTCCGCCCTTGGTCCCCCATCCTCGTTTTGAAGCTGCCTTTCCCCTTTGTCCTGCTGGGTGGGGTGTTCATCGCGGCCCACTCCGTCCCCGGGGAGTTGCGGAGGGACATTTCCGGAGCCGAGGGCGGCGCTGCTCCGGTCCCCGCAGAGCCCAGGGCTGGCTCCGGACGTGCAGCCCGGGCTGGAGAAAAACTGGTTTTCCGGTGACCCATTAGGTCCTTCTGAACAAGTCAGGATCCGCCGTCCCGGGTGGCGAGCCTTTGCGTGGGAAAGCGTGGCTGCCATAGCTTTCCGTGATTTCCTCCCTGTCCGCCCCCGGTGGCATGCATTTAAAACAAGCCAAGAATCCCCTCTCCAGCAAACGAGGCTCGGGAGGAGTGTGTATCTGGCCCAGCCTAAGCAAAGGGTGCACAGAGCAGAAAGCAGGCGCGGGGAGATGTAGTAGCATTTCCCCCAAATGACCAAGCTCCTGTGAAAAGCAGGTGATGCTTTGGCTCTGGAATTTCTTACCTCATTTCCCCATTGCCTCCCAATTTCCACTACCGAAGCCAGAAGGTCTTTTTTAGCATCTGTCATGGTCATTTTTATTCCTTTCCCCGAAGAACAAGGGAGAACGTTACAGGGTTCAATTCTTGTGTTCATCTGGCAATGTGTGTCCATATGTTTTGTAACGAGAGTTAGTGACCTTAGCAAATCGCCTTACATATTGAAAGCATATAAATGAAAATTTTGGTACCTACGTACCCCCAAGATAGCACGGGGTGTGTGTGTGTACCAATACCATGGTCTGTGTGCGTGTGCCGATCTCATGGGTAGGGTGTGATTGAATTGCAGTCAAATCTGCCTTCCACACTCCAGAAGAGTGTAGTCTCCTCTGATAATGTTACTGCTTCCAAAGCAGATGAAAGGGTCGCTGTGAGGTGGAACTGATTTTACCAGCAGTGGGAAAGAAAACACAAGCAGCCTGGTGGTGCAATAGGTTAAGTGCTTGGATGTGAACCTCAAGGTAGGTGGTCACCTTGTGAAAGAAAGATTTGGCTGTTGGCTTCCATCAAGATTACCCTCTTAGAAAAGCTGTGGAGGAGTTTTGCTCTGTCCTGCAGGCCCTCCGAGTCACAATGCACCCCGTGACAGATGGTTTGGTATCAAACACCACATACTTACTTGGTTTTCTCCTAACCCATCAAATTGAGGTTAGGAGTGCAGGCCTAGCAGCCCGACTCAAAACCAATGCACCACTTCCTGGATGGTTCTCTTGGGCAAACTCAAGGAAACCTCATTCATTGCCAGCGAGTTGGTACCAACTAATAGCTGATCCTTCCGGGGGGTTGGGGAGTGTGTAAATCACACTGGAGAAGACTGCCCGTCTTTCTCCTGAGAAGCAGTTGTTGTTGTTGATTGCCTTTAAGTCAAGCATGACTCATAACGACCCCATGAAGAAAAGGCTTAAAGCCCTTCTACAAACTTGACATTTATCAAAGTTCATAGAGTTTAGGCATGTTGTTTAGCAAGTGGATGCCACTCCTGCTTCCAGTAGATAGAATATAGATAGTATGTTATCGTTGTTATGTGCCATTGAATTGCCTGCAAATGTATAGCAACCCTGCGTACAGCAGCTTTGAACCCTTTCCTGTTCTGAGCTAGTCTCTCGAACTTTGACACACCAACCCCCATTGTCCCAGTCACTGTATCAATCCATCTCATCCCGGGGTCTCCCTCTCCTGAGCTGTCTGTCCACCCTTCCGAGCATGATGTCCTTCTCCAAGGACCGATCTCTCCTGGCCATGTGCCCAAAGTAAGTGAGGCTGAGTTTCAAAACCCTAACCTCCGAGGAGAGACTTGGTTTCACCCTCTCCAAAACAGATCTATTTGTTTTCTTGGCAGTCCATGGTGTGTTCAAGAGACTCTTCTCCAGCACCACAACTCAAAGGCATCTATTCTTCTTCTGTCATCCTTAGTCATTGTCCAACTCTCTGAAGCATAACAAGTAATTGGGAAGACCATGGCATGGATTAGGCACACCTTTGTATGTAGACTGACATTGTTGCTCTTCAGCACTCTGGAGAGGTCCATGACGGCAGATTTTCCCACTGTAATTCGTCTTTTGATTTCCTGACTGCTGGTGTTAAGAGTGTTAATTGTGGATCTGAGCAAGCTATAATTGCTAACCACCTCAATCTCTTCTCCATCTATTATAGTGTCGCCAACTGGCCCAGTGGTGAGAATCTTTGTCTTCTTGATGTTGAGCTTCAATCCATATTGAAGACTACAGTCCGTGACCCTCTGAAGTCAATTTCAGCAAGCAAGGATGTGTCATCTGCATAGAAGCAGTTGGTGGGTTCAAACTAAGACAGGTGCTTCCTTTGAGCTCGCAATGTAACTTCCTATCACGCTATCAGAGCGATTGGGCAATGGATCCTCACTTTCTTCATCCAAAAAATAAGAAAACATCTAATTCACAGAGTTTGTGAGGTGTAGAGACAGCTACGTTGGCCTAGTGGACAGAAAGTTATTCCACCAAGGCCAACATGAGTGATTTTAATCTGCGGCCCTCAGGCCTTGTTCAAATTGTTTTTCTTCTAGGTGGGATAGCACTGGTCTGTGCATTGCTGTACAGAGGTAACTCATGGTTGCTGTGATGCTAAACACTGTGACACTGATGTGTCAAATGCGATAATGGTTACCCACGGTGGACAGTGTTTGGTGGAGCTTCCCAATTAAAAGAAGCTTGGACAAGCAACAAATGCTGGCGAGGTTGTGGAGAAACTGGAACCCTGATTCACTGTTGGTGGGAGTGTAAAATGGTGCAACCCCTGTGGAAAGCAGTATGGCGCTTTCTCAAAAAGTTGCAAATAGAGATACCATTTGACCCAGCAATTCCACTACTGGGAATATACCCTGAAGAGACCATAGCAGATATATGCACACCCATGTTTATTGCAGCTTTGTTCACAATAGCAAGGAGTTGGAAACAACCTAAGTGCCCATCAACAAACGAATGGCTAGAGAAGCTGTGGTATATTCGCACAATGGAATACTATGCTGCATTAAAAAACAAGGAACTCATGCAATATTATTCAAAATGGTTGACTCTGGAGAACATTATGCTGAGTGAAATATCCCAGTCACAAAAGGACAAATATTACATGATGCCACTGTTGTAGAATGGGACTGTCCTTGGGGTTAGGGAGACACTGAGTAAGATGGGTTCAATAATGTATACTGCACTGAAACAGAGGAGGGAGAAAACTGTTAAAAAGAGATATATAACTAGGTATTTCTGTCATCACAGGAGACTAGAGCGAGGGCTACATGGTGGAGGGGACCTGGGGGAGGGTTTGTAAAACAATGAAAGAATCTTTTCTTTTACTTTTCCATAATTTTTGGACTCATGTACTTATAACTTGTTAGTCAAATTTGTGTCTTCTAGGTTGCAACACCCCCATGATACATCTTCAAGGATATGAACATGTACGGCCAAGCACAATCAATAAGAGTGCATCTAAATTCCAAAATCAATCTCCATAATAGTCTATGTGTTTCCTACTGCCAAAGGGGCCCTTTAGAGTAGTGAGAGAAGATCTTCACCCTGAAACCCACAGCGTCCCTTATCAGCAGGAAGTAGCTAAGAGAATACGCCATCCCCTTTTCCTTATGACTCAGGTGAAGTCTCTCTCAGGGAGGAGTGATAGGGAATGGCAAAGGACACACTGACAAAGAAGATTAATCAGAACTGGCTTTGACAAGCACTGTGGCATTTGGACAAGAACAAACTGGGAGGAGGGTAGAGAGAATAGTGCAACAAGGAATGAATGGAAACCCAAAATCTCTGTAAATGTTTATGAAAATTAATAAAATATAATTATAGAAAGAAAAAAAAAAGAAGCTTGGAAGCAGGAGTGGTATCCACTTCTGAAATAGCTTGCCTCTGGAAACACTATGAACTGTGCTCAGGCCTTTTGTTCATAGGGTTGCTATGAGAAGTCTACGACTCAATGGCACCTAACAACAACAACAACAGAGCATGTGGTACAGATAGTGTATTGAAAGCAGAGTCTGCCATGTAGTGTGCATTTGGCCCTTATTAGCTATTATTCTTTATCCAGCAGTTTGATCTATCTGTTCCACTTTTATCTGCAGATGCTGACATGAAGGCGCTGCCTGGTGGCACAGGGAGTTCTAACCCACTGTGGGTTACTGTGGGAAACAGAAGGCACTCTTCTCCCCTGTGACTTACAGCTTTAGAAACCCAATGGATGGTCAACTATGAGTTGGTTCTGACACCACTGCAACAAGAGAGAGGTGTCTATAGGACTTAGTTGCCTCTCTCATCATTCCCTCCAGCTTTGATTTCAAGCTTTCATCAGTCTCTTCAAGCTTCGAAAGCCATTTACCCCCAGAATCCATCTCAATTGCTTGATCAAAAAAATAAATAATCTCCTAAACTGTCTCCCCCTCAGACTTACCTGCATCCCCTAATGTGATAAAAGTTGTTAGGCTCTATTTTGATAAATATACTATTTGTCTAATACATAAAGATATGCGTGTAAACCTCTTTGTAACTGTGTACCACCACCAGTGCTCTTAAGTTGGTTAGTTTGAATAATGGTCACCAAGGAATGATTCAAAATAATTTACAAATGTTGCACAAGTTAAAAACACCAGTGCTGTTTGTGAAAGAACACCCCATGTGGGGACACATTAAAGCAGAAATTACTCATCCAAGATAATAAAAATGTAGGAGATGGCCAACATTTCTTTTTCAACCACAGGTAAATGCCCAGAATAACGCACCATACAGGCAGATAATGTGATGGGTAAGCGGAGGCTCTGGAAGATCCAGGTTGCTTTCTGTTCTGTCTTCAGTGATGCCCTTACACGTGGTGGTGGTGGTGGTGTTATTGTTGTTGACTCTGACTCATAGTGACCCTATGTCCAACAACTCTGAACCCTGCTCTGTCCTGAGCCAATTTCACGTGAGGGTCTTTAATTGTAGGGCATAAACTAAATTCTTGCTAATTCTGCTTGATGTTTGTGGGTTTTGTTAAAATCTAACTTTTATATGTATATTGTAAGGATTAAGTGATAGGTTACATGAAGTGAACTTCCTATGCACATAGTAAGCACTCACTAAAAGTTGTTAGGTGTCATCAAGCTGACTACAACTGATCTTTTAACAAAAGATAGAAATTGTGCCCTACCTGGCCTTCCTCATGACCTCCACTATGTTCAAGCCCTCTGTGAGAGTCACTGTGTCACTCTATCGCATGTCTTCTCACTTTTGC